GGCCTGGGATGTTCAGGGAGGAGGCCACCTGGGCCTTTTTTTGTCACAGAAAGCCCCCTCCCCTGTGGAGGGCAGGGTCCCGAGCCCATGGTCCCCAGTGGAAGCTGGAGGCTGCACAGCGTGGCTCTTGCTGGGAAGCCCCTGTGGTGAGGTGGGAAGGGAGGGCCCAGCCCCGACCCCCTTCTGTCTCATCTCCTGCCAGAGCCCTAGCTGACCGGGGCCTAGGATGCGTGCCTGCAGAGCCCTCTGCCCTCTGACCTCTGCACTGTGCATGCTCCCACATGCCGCACCATCTTCACAAACAGAATCCACGGGTGTCCTGTCACGCTGGACAACCCCTCGCTCCTTACCTGGGTTGAGGCAGAGGCAGCTTTTCAGAGGTGGCCTCACCTTTCCACCCTAGCTTCCACCACAGTGCAGATTCATAATGCCTCTGACAAAAATGTGGAACTTGCAACGTAGCTGGATCTCAGCACGCCTCCATCCCTAGGCTTGGCTTCCAGCCCAGAGCTGAGCACCCTGACCCCATGCCAGGCCCTGGCCTCCGTGTCCTGCAGAGGCTGGGCCTGCACCCAACGCTGTCCTTGGACCCTCTTGGGGGGAGACAACCCTGCCCCACCCCAGCTCATTGCCCTGTGACCCCATTCCTGGGCGCCATTCTTACCCAAGCCCAAGGAGCGAGATCTCTGTTCTGAGCCGGTAGATGGGACCCTGCTGTCAGCTTCCTCTGCAGAGCAGCTAAAGCCTGCCTCCCACCCCAGCTCCAGGGAAGCACTTCTGGAAGATTCCAGAATAAATAAAGCAATAGCTGCTTTTCCTCTAAAGTAGCAGACTGGGTCTGGCTGGGGGAGGGGATCCTGACCCCCATGGTGAGTCACTGTCTCCAGGACCCAGGGGAGGGCTGGTGGAAAAGCCAGCTCCCAACAGCACCCAGAGCACTGCTATGCGCCCCCGATGATCTGATCCACCTCCCAGGCCTGCTTCCACAGGCCCTGGGTGAGCTGGGCCCCACCTGCCTGCACGGGGCTCTGAGGGGCAGATGGGTGGAGGCAGCTGCCCTGTCTCAGAGCTTAGGCAGCACACCCATCCCAGAGAGGCAGCAAGGCCGCAGTGCGGGGAAAGGCCTTGGGAGCCAGGGATGAGCGACAGTGGGAGAGAGAGAGGGGAGGGGAGAGCGAGGGGTAGGAGTGAGATGGGAGGGGGAGGGAGAGGGAGGGGTTAGGACTCCAGCCTGGATGCTTGGAGCTCAGTACTCAGGGCTGGGTGCTCAGAGCTCAGTTCTCAGGGCTGGGAGGCAGTTGACCCCACCACAGCCACCTCACCCACTTCACAGATGGGGAAGCTGAGATAAGAGTGGGCACTTGTCCAAGGCCATGCCGGGTGTCCGGGAGGGACTCCCGGTGTCTGACTGACCAGGAGGCAGAGCGGGTCTGTTGCTGAAGGGGACAGAGCTGCACACAGAAGGTGCTCGTCAGAAGATGCCTGAGTAAGGAGACCCCTGAGGCAGTAACCTGTCTCCTGCTGGAGAGTCATACCCTCTGCCAGCTCGATCCAAAGTCTGTTCATGATATGCCCACCGGGACCACAGATACAGCCTGAGGGCAGGTATGTAAGCAGCCCCTGTACTACCCTGCAGCCAGGCCCCCACCTGGCAGGTTTTATGGCCACCAGCCCAGAGTGCACATGGGCCCTGAGGGGTTGGGGTGCTGCCAGATCCCACCAGCAGCCCCAGCCTCAGGAGGGCGTGCTCTACCCAGCACTGCCCTTCCTTCCCTCCCTGTGACCAGATTTGGAAATGCTCAGAAAAACCTAGAGTTTCCTTCAGGACATGGGTGCATCTGAGTCAGAGACCACAAACTCAAAGCCTCCCAAGAGGCAGTTGTGCACATCTGTGAGGCCAGCTGGGAGCCTGCACACATAATCAGCAAGTGGGACTAGTCTCCCGGAAAGAAATATCCTTATCTTCCCTGTTTTCCAAGTCTGTCTTATAAGGTATGTCATTTGCTAGTGTCTCCCTGAGAGCCGAACAGCAAAGTAGAGACCTTACGGTGGCAGCTGGGACCTGCTGGAGGGAGGCAGTAGGGAGCGGCGGGGACTGTGGTGAGCCAGAGTTCACACCCAGCCTTTGGGAGCAGCGGCTGCTGGGTCCAGGAATGGACACTCCACATGGCCAGATCCCCCCCGCCCTTTTTTTTAAAGAAAGCCACAAATCCAAAATCTCAAATAATGTATCTGAGTTCTGAAATACTGACAGACGAACTAAATGAAAACATGTCCACTGGCCAAAGTCAGAACACAGTTTGTGACTCGAATTAAATGGCTCCTTCCCTGAATGCCAGGCCACTTTGCCCCCAGGCTCCCTGTGTGGTCTGTGCCTGATGGGAAACCCAGGGTGTTCCTGTCCTGGCACAGTGTCCTGCCCCTCAGAGGGCAGAGGCCCATGCCCACGCTGCCCCCAGGGGACCCGCTGGAGGAGCCGAGGGGCAGGCAGGGGGCCTTGAGGGGTGGTGCAGGGGGAGTGACCGGTGTGGAGAGCCAGGCACCCACAGGAAGTAGGAGCTGCACGGTGTGGGCCTCTGGTGCTCCTGCTGGCTCAGGAGCCGCGCCTGCCACCACTGTCCTGCGGCGCCGCCCACCCCACCAGTGCAGCCTCGGTGGGACCATGCTTTGGCAAAGCTTTCATTAGACAATCAGAGGGTCCCCCTGGAACCTTGGGTGAGGGTTCCAGAAACCAGTGGGGCTGAACTATCCCTAAGGCCTCTGTAGTGTCAGCTCCCAGAGCCTCTTGTCCTTTCACCTTCTCACGTCCTGACTGTACCCATCCCCTCTTCAAATTCTGGTTATAAGTCCACCACTGGGGTTATTACTGCTTCAACAGGAAATCCGGTGTTACACACCTGACCCCTTCCAGGGATCTGTCCACCCACCCACGGGTGCATCTCACCAGGATCTCTCTTCCTCCCTCCCTGGCGCCCCCTGTGAGACACCCATCTACCTGCACTTGCACACCGGGTGAACAGGTCCAGGGCTCAGCCAGTTGTGCCAGCAGGTATCAGGGTCATGGGTCAAGCCAGTGTGCACTTGGCATCTGGCGTCCAGGGCAGATACTTGCTTACTTCCCTGAGCTTCTCACCCCGGGGAACTGGCTATCGTGCATGCACTTGATCATACCACACATACGTGGCCTCAGCTGTGCTGGCGGTCAGCCACATTAAGCCACTGAGTGTCAGGAAAGAGCCAAGAGTGAGACGTGCTCTCGAAAACCCCACACCCAGGAGAAGATCTTAGAAACCACCTCTTCAAGTTGCTAATTTTCTTATTCAATTATTTTATATAATTTTGCACAAATGCACATCATACCGGGTGGGGTCTGAGTCCAGACCCTCCTGACCCTCCTTTGGCTCTCCTCCTGCCTCCTGCCCCTACTGGACCCACACTGCCCTCCGACCCTACTAACAGCCCAGAATGCACTTTCTACCCTTCCTTCTAATAACATCGCTAGACCGAATCCACATACATGAACATATGCACGCACACGCACATATGACACTGCCTTATAAAAATGAGCTATTTATAGTCTATTCTGTATCTTGACCTTTTCACATAATGATACCTTGGAGATCCCTCCAAATCAGATGGCCTAATTGTAATTCATTCTTTAATAATGGCATATCATTTTTTTATTTATTTGATCAAGAAATACTAACATGGAGGTGCGTAATCTTCCTTGGCATTGATGTATCAGAATTTATATAACCATTAGTGTTATGTTCACCAATGTTTCCATTATTCTGTTATTTATTTCCACTACAAATAAGGTCGTAACTATTATTTTCCCTTATTCTGACACATTATCTTGTTCTCTGACTTTCTCAGGGGCTTACTGGTAAGCCACAGGGTATGTTCTGGAACCTGCTTGTCCCAGGGGCCCACCCTCCTGTGCTCCGGCTGACCTCCCTGTTTGGGTCACAGCAGCTTCACAGGGTGCTCTGACCTGTATCTGGGAAAGCCCCTGCTTCTACCCTTTTCCTTAATTTTCTTAGCCACTCTTGGAACTTATTTTTCCAAATTAACTTTAAGATAATTTGATCCAATACAAAAAAAATTAATTTCTTGGGGTCCCCACTCACTAACTGTAAAGTAACAGAGAAAGAATTTAAGGGAGCGGCCCGGCTGGCTCAGCTAGCGAGGGACTTGGACCAAGATCTACAGGCATCAGGGCAAGCGCTCCTTCCCCTGGCTCGAAACACACTTACACAGGGAAATTAGAAGCCCCAGATGTGTTTGTGATTCACATTTAAAACAGTGACCATGCGTGGAAGAGGTATAAGCTGGGGCAGGACCTCCAGGCAAGGAGGCAGCACCTTTCAGAATTTAAGTGCCTGTGCCCCATGCCCTCTGCCCACAGAGTCACCTGCCAGGACCTCATCCCAGAGAAGCACATGCAGTTAGTGCTTGTGGGATCAGCTGGAGACCCACAGCCAGCTCAGGGCCTGTCAGCAGGTGACTGGACAAGCAACCCAGAGCCGGGCTCCTAATGGCTGGTGAGCTGCAGGTGGGACAAGAGTGAGGCAGAGGTGTGGGTACACAGGGGGACACACACCATAGGCCAGGGTGTGGGTGCAGGACGCAGCACGAGGCCGGTTCACACGGCTGCCCTGAGTGAGGGGCACACACCCATGTTTGGAGACGAGAATATTTCCAGAAGGAGGCCTAAGACCTCAGCAATGGGAGTGGAGTTAGGAAACCAGGAGATGGTGGGAGACGGACTTTGCATTCCTGGATTTTACAAAACATATGCATCTATGAGATATAACATTAACTACAAGTATTTCTAATACAAGAATGTAAGGACAGATTAAGCCAGCCAGCCAGTGGGGTGACAGGTGCTCCGGAGCAGAGGGCCCCTGGGAAGTGGCCACTGGGGGCTGCACTGAGGCCCTGGACATTGACTCTAGGATCAGAGCCTGCTGAGGGGCAAAGAACTGCTTACCACTCACCTTGGCAGGAGCAGAGGCTGGCACAGCCCATCCCTTGTTCCCATTGGCCCCTGGAGTCCTCGGGTTGGCAGAGTCCCTGACTGCTGATGAGCAGACCAGTGCCCAAGGCACTCCCCGTGGGGAAGAGCCAGGCCAGAAACAGCGCAGGTGAGCCTGGCCCCTGAGCATGGGGATCCTTCCCAGCTGCACCCCATCTGTCCTGGGCACCACTCAGGGGACCCTGTGTGAACAGGACATCCACAGCAGAGCCACACATGCAGGGAGAAGGACCTGTGGGGGCAGCTGGGCCAGGGAAGAGGGTGGGCACAGGAGGGGCACAGGCAGGCATGGATTCCCAGGAGGGCACCTGGGCTGGGAGCCCATGGCCTGGGGGCAGAGCTCAGGACATGGCTCAGTGTCTAGGACTAAAGGCCATTCATGCTGTTTCCACTCTGAATGTGCTGCAGATCTGGAATCCACTGTGCTAACTGCCTTAATTTTTTAAATGTTCCTGAAAATGCTCATTTTTAGCATGAATAATTTTAAATCAACCTTTCTTGGCAATGAGTGGATGTCATTTGCTTCCACAAAGACACCCACAGACAGTCTAAATCTGGTGTCACCTACATGGAGCAGTGACAGGTTTGTCATCATAAATGCTCTGTGACTCGGTTTTTTAGCTTCCCAGACTGTACTGCCTCCCTGACCTACCAGCACTCACAAACTGACCTCCCACTGAACATCTGCACCTGCCACCGTGCCTGCTGCACTGCAGATCCTCCCAGGTGGCAGAGGACAGATGGTATTTCGTGCTCCGCATACAAAGGATGTCCTGCCCGCAGCCACCCAGGACGGCAGCCCAAGTTGGAGATTTGAGGGCCGAGTTCAAGTCCAGGCTGTGCCCCCTAAGGTGACTTTAGGGAAGTCCCCACCTGCCACCCTCCTCTGTAACGGTGCTGACCGCAGCCCTGACTCACACAGCAAGGACCCAAGGAGAGAACAGGCTCCAGCAAGAGCACCTTCCCTTTGGTGCAGCACTGTCACCAGCGCCACCTCTCCCTGCCACCCCCACATTATTTTCCCCGTCCCCCTCTGGCCACAGGCAGAGCATGCTTTCCTAGGCAGCGTGTCTGTGCCCAGGGACAGGCTTAGACACACGTGGTGGGGGTTTCCCCCTGCTGTGTTCCCAGGACCCAGAGGAATGCCCAAAAAGCCAAGGGTCTTCCCCGGAAAGCAGTCATTCACTGTTGAGTGAGTGAGTGAGCACTGGACTGCCCCCAACCCTGGGCCTCATTTTCTCCACTTGCAAAGGATGGGACTTGGCCACTCAGACATATGTGTTTTGTGTGGTGGCAGCTTTGTGTGTTTCCCCTGCTGTAGCTCGGGTGAGTGGCTGGACTCCCACAGGACCCCCAGATGGAATCTGAATGAGCCACATGGGCCAAAGCCCTGGCAAGGGGGGAAAGAGCGGGTGATGTGGAGAAAAGATGGAGGTTTGGGTGCCCCCAGCCCATGGGAATCACACCCTACCAAACAAAACGTAGACAGCTGTACACTCATCAAAGAATTGCCGATACCCAAAGTATGTAGTCCCTGGACTGCAGGACCCAACAGAATGGAGTCTGCTACCACACAGGCAGGCCCGTGTGGTGGACATGCCGAGGGCAGGGAGGCCCCATAACAAGAGGTGGGTTTGCCATTGGAGAGCAGGCCATGACAGGGAGCAGCATCCGCGGCCCCACGCGTCTCCCATGCAGCCTCCTCTCTGCAGTCATGCATTTGGGGGCCTCAACAAGCCAGGGCCGGTGTGCTGAGCAGGTGGAGTGCACGGCTCTGCAGAAGGAGGGGCCTCTGCTCAGCTGTGCCTCTGTGTCCTGAGGAAGAACTTGGCTCCAGCATGGAGCTCCCCAGGAGACCCCTAGGACCCGCTGTTTCTCTGCCCCCACCACAGACGTTCAGTTTCCCCTGGGGACCTAGAAGCCAACGAAGTCATTCACTCAGGTGTCAGGGACTGATAATAGTTCAGGGAGCCAGCCAGGGCCGGCTGCACTTAGGAGGACCCCTTTTTTTTCTCTTCCAAGCTATGGTCACCTTAAGCCAAAGAAATGAATCTTTAGCACTTAGGAATAACCAGGGAGCCCAGCGGGAGACAACAATGAAACATTCTGAAGCAGAGAAACCCAACCAGGAGGGGCCTCCCGCTCCTTCCCCTGAGGCTCCAGGGAGGATGCCAGGGCCCCGTTTGGAGGACAGGTGAAAACCCCTTTTCTAGGACTTGCTAACTCTGGAGCTAGAATCTAGGTGCCTCAGACACAGCTCCAGCATCCACTACACAGCCCAGAATCTCCTGTCTCATTGGCAGAAATGCTCAGAGGACATGGTGCAGCCACCTGTGTGTCACTGAGTGACACCTCTCTGGACATTCCCAGCCACTGGTTATGGCAAAGATGGGTTATAGTCTGGACTGGGTACCCACGCCCCCACCATGCAAGGGTTTTACAGCACAGTGACCAAGGCAGAAAGTCCCAACAGGCTGCCTTCCTGTCTGCGCCAGGTCCTCGAGGAAGGACCCACGGTCTGCATAGGTGCTGCCTGACATAACCTGCAACAAAAGTACTTTTTGCCAAAGAAGCAGAGCCCCATGAACAGCATCCCAGAGCCTTCCTGAGAACGGAGGGCTCCCGTCTGCTCCATCTGCAGTCCAGGGCCCTTGGGCCTGGCTCTTACCTCCAGTGGGACCACCTGCATGAGGATGGCGAAGTTGGTGAGGTGAGTACAGCGGCAGACGGAGTAGCTGAGGTTCCCTGCTATGAGCGCACAGCCCTGGTCCGACCAGACCCCTTCTCCGGAGCTGAGGACACAGGAGGAGCATTCAGTGGAAGCAACAGCCCACCAGGGCCAGTGCGCATGGAGTGTCAAACCCACCAGGCTGACAAGAGGGGATGAGTCACGCTACGGGAGATGAAGAGGAAGGCCATGTCTCTTCTTGGGTATGAGACATGTGCAAGTCCTGCAACCCAGCAATCTTGCTTCCAGACAATTTTAAGCTGGATGCACAGGGGATGCATCCAGGGGTGTTCCCTGAGTGACGGTGATGCCAGAGAATATGAGTGACCCAGTGTCCCCTGTGGGGAAGTGGGTAAATATACTGTGGTGCAAGTATGACACAGTGTGATACAATGCCACCCATCAGTCAGGGGAAGGGGTAGGCGGCTGGGCAGAACACAAAGACTCATGTGCCATGTACCATGTGCGATGAGACAGTGATGCAGCATGAAACCAGACAAGCAGATCTGCTGCCCATAAAGCACTGGCTGCCCCCCGGGAGAGGGGCAGAGCTCAGGGCAAGATGACCAAGTCAGGATGCTTGCTTTTTGCTCTTTTGACAAATAATGTACCGATTTATTACTTGTACCATTTTATAAAGTATAAACCTGGACAAAAATGATGTGAAGCCATTACACTGAGAAGCGAACTGAGGCTAAATCTCACGGTGAGAATATCCATGTCTTCTGTGTATCTCTGCATATTTCCAAATTCCAGAAACAATGTTTAAATGGCTTTTCACTTAAACTTCCCAGAAGCTGCAACTTTGAGTTATCAGCAAGGATACATTTTTGTTTCAGCCAAAGGCAAGGGCCCTTGGGGAGGCTCTTATGAAGTTGAAGAAATTAAAAGGTTTCTCTTTGCCTTCTGCTCACTTTGAACTGCAATGTCAGTGGTGAATGTAGATGAGAAATGCAGCCAACGGCAGGGTGGTGATGAACACCTGGGCTGCATTGTGCACACTGCTCTGTGGGTGAAGCACCACAGGCCGCACGGCTATGTGCACCCCTGAGGCAGGGAGTGCCCCGTGAGAATGGGGGCCCGCAGGTGGGCACGGGAAGGGTCGTCTGGAGGTGACTCGGGGTGGGCATTGAGCTTGGGTTCGGCGGCTGTGGAGAGGGTTTCATGAGGAGTGGGCTGCTCTCCTCAGGAAGTTGGGGGCATTTAGCAGAGACCAGAGAGCACAGCCAGGGCGGCTTGAACCTATCCGTTCCAAGGAGTGAGGCTGCACTGATATGGGTCATATCCCTGTCCCCCACCGCACTGCCTGTTTCTGTCTAATTTTCCCAGGACCTCAAGGAGAGCCAGCAACATGGGCTGTTGTGTTTATACAGCACCTTTGTCCTTTTCTGAATGCATGAATGCCATACTACTAGAGGGTGACCCAACAGCGAGCAGGCATTGGAGCAGGTGAACACGGTCACAGAGATGACCCCTCTTACTCAGAGTGACAGCGAATTAAAACCCATGAGGGTCATGTTTTCCCAAACAGAGCCAATAAGGTGTGCTGATGCCTTCATTCACCAGGGAGCTGAATCCTAAATGGCAATACTTCTGAGTGGATGTGAAGACCCACTTCCGGCTTGTGCACAAGGAAGCCTGCCATGGAAGCTGGGCCAACTAATGTCGAATAATGGTATGAACGGGCATAACCCTGTGACCCAGGGAGTGTGCACCCAAGCAGAAAAGTGTTTGCTCACCCGCATAAATTATAATATGATAAAATGTCATACCACCGTTAAGAGAGACGCGGGTGGGACACAAAAACAGAGGGTGGTGGAATGATGCAAGAAACGTGGAACTAACAATGCCACATATTCTTTTTGAACATAAATATAAATCTTATATAAATTATTGAGAAAACACACACATGTCCACTGTGGCTACTGGTGGCAGGAGAGGTCAGGAGAAGAGGTGAAAGTCTGAGGGGATGTTTGTTTCATATATGCCTTTCCTCCTGAGGTGCCCATGGGAGGTGCAGGGTGCAGGTAAGAGGCCCTGGGTCTGGATGGGGTGGCAGAGGCCTCAGTTTCCACAGGGCTGACAGTCAGCATGCTCCAGTGTGGCCATCATGGATTTAAAATGCTAAAACATTGACATGGCCGCCAGAGGATGGCTGCTTGCCCAGCCCTGCCCCAGGACCCCCAGGACAGCAGCTAACTTCCCACACAGCCATGGTTCCTCTGCTGAGCTGGTGCGGGAGCTGGAGATCACCCAGGGCTTTAGAGACCCTGTGCTACAACCCCAATGCAGCCTGGAGGGGACCTCACCCAGCACCTGCTCTGGATCCTGCTTATGTCCCAAGTTGTCACCAGTATTGGTAACCATGCTGCCTCCAGAAATGGGTGACCTGGAGTGTAACCCAGGCTGGCGTGCCTGGACACCCCCTACCTGTCTGGCAACACCCTCCTCATTTTCCTCCCCCACCCCGACTGGCAGCCTCCTGCCCAGATGGTACCTGAAGTCCAGGAAGGCACAGTACAGGAGGGTCCGGCTGCTTGCATTGGAGGCCTTGCTGTACTGCTGGCCAGTCTGAAATGAAAGAGCAGATATGCTTCATGACACAGCTCGCGACATTGGCATGAGAGCCCCACCCTGGCCCACCAGCCACTGACTTTCCACTGCATCCATCGTGGTCAGAGGGGCCACGGCATCCACCAGAGCTCCTGCCCCAGGGCCTTTGCACCTGCTGTGTCCTCCTTCGCTCTTCTACATGGCACCCTCCTCACTTCCCTCTCCACAGTCCCTGCTATAGTCCCTGTTAACTCCTCAGAGAGGCTTTCCCTGCCTGGTCAGAGCAACACCCAGTCCTGCTCTTGCTGCAGGCTTCCTCTATTTTTTTCCTAACATTGACCAGCACACACAGGTCACATATTTGCTTATTTATTTGTTTGCTGGCTTCCCCTCTGAAACATGCACAGTGAGCCTCTGTCCTGTTACTGCTGTGCCAAGCGTCTAGCCCTCTGCCTGGCATACAGCAGGTACTTACTACATGTTGGCTGCATGAGTAAACAAAAAAACAAACACATGACCAGACCAGTCAGTGACCTTGTTCCCAGGAGAGAGAGAGAAAAGGTAGAGCCTGGCCCCCAAGACTGAGGTTGCTCTGCTAATGGCTCCTCCTCGGGGAGGCCTGTCCTGGCCACCACTACCTTCCTTGACCTGTTTCCTTTCTTCCATGGCACTCAACACTAGCGAGACATCCTTAGTTATGTTAGCCACTGTATCACTGTGTCCATCAGAATCAGAGTGGGACCCTGCCAGTGAATGCTGAGCCCAGGCTGTGGCTGGCACACATGCTGTGTGAGTTACTGGAGACATGCGTTTGCAGGCAGGCAGGAGTGATTCCTGGCTTCCAGGAGGACGGTGAGCCAGAGGACAGTGGGTAGTCCCCTCTGAGAGTGCACGTGGCCCCCGGCCCCCATGGGCACCCCTTCCCACATTCACTGCGGACTGTGGTTTTCTAAGTGTGGCCACAGGCAGCCTCCATGGCACCCAGGAACCTGGATCCTAGGGCCCCACCACAGAATCAGGGCCAGACCCCTGGGTGTCCGTAAGCCCTTTACATGGTTCACATGCATCTGAGACCCACAGAAAGCTAGGAAGACACGTCTCCCTCTCTCCCTCTAAACTGTTTCAGCTGCTCAGACAGAGCCCTGCAGCTGCCTAGGAACACAGTAAGTTAACAGCAGGAGAACATGGCATGAAAAACCACAACATCAAAAATACAAATAACCCGCACCTGGGGGTCCTGCCTCAGCCCTCCAGGACAGCGTGAAGGGCCATTTTTAACAAAGTGTGTGTGTCCCTCGTGCATGTGAAGGAAAGGCTTAAAGCAAGCTGAGTTAGAGGGGGTGGTGCAAATAGGCTGAGCCCGCCTCCGAGGCAGCGGGCTTCCCAGGACGAGCCCTGCCCTCCTGGCCTCCAGCTGACCCGCCAGTCAGACCCTTGACAGTAGTCCCAGATCTCTGCAAGAGGCATTGAACTCAGCCACAGCTGTGGCCAGCCAAGCACATGTGTGGTCGAGAGGGTGCAGGGGCAGACAGAGTTCACTCGGCCCCAGACCAGGATCACACCCTAAATCCGGAAACTCCTGTCCTCTGAAGTCTGAGGCTCCTCTGGCTCTGCTCCTGGGGTGGAAAGACAGACGGCCTCCTGATACATGTGGGGTTTGCAACTGCCTGCTGCAGAGGTCCTCAGCTGGGCTCCAACAAGCAGGGAGGCCTAGAAAGTTCCCCGAGGCATGATCTGGAACCGGAGCTGTCGGCATGTGGCGGGGTTGGGGGATGGTGTTGACAGAGTGGGAAGGTGAATCGTCTCTGTCACTTTCCTGGAGAAATGCAGGAGCTGTCTGTGGCCTGTTGGCCTCCCTGGTGCCTGGGTGGCACGCAAAAACCATTCTGTGAGTCACCTGGTGGCCAGGACTAGGAAATGGTGCATCCTCATCAGGGGAGGAGGAAGCAGCTTTCACCTCGAAGCCCTCCTGATCCGGAAGCCAGGGACCCCACAGAGCTCTGCGGTCCACATGGCTGACCTCCAAGGAGAGCTGGACCTGCTCAAAGTCATGTGCCCCGTCAGTGCAGGGCCCCATGGGCCCCCAGGAGCATCTTCCGTGCTGTGACTTCCTTCAACAACCCAAAGGGTTTTCCATTTGGGGAGAAGCAAATGCGAGTAATCAAGTGTTTACTGCCTGCTGCTCATCCCTGAGGCACAGAAAGGGTGCACATCATGAGGAAGAAAATCCACCAATAACAGCCATTAATGTCCTTGCTCAGAGACGTGCTTGCTTTTTATTCAAGTAGATGGTTTTTGCTATAAATAAACTGGGAAGACACTGGCTGATCACTGCCCCAAGCAAACACGTAAATGCACCATGGTCCTTCATGTGAACCCTGAGTACAGCAATGGAAGGTCAAAGTGCCCCCTTGCTGCCCTGTGGCGGGTGAGCACAGGGATCCCGGGCAGGCTGAGCAGTGCCTGTCTCCTGCCCTCCTGTCCGAGCCGGCTCCCCTCACCACCAGCAAAAGCAATTCAATGAAGGAATGGTAGTCCTTCCAACAGTAGCGTTGGAGCGATCAGACATCCAGAGGCAACTAAATAAATGGGTAGATAGAGAAATAAACAACTCAGCCTAAATCTCATGCCGTATATGAAAATTAAGGGAAATGGATCCTACATTAAATGTTAAACATAAAACTTTTAGGAGATAACACAAGAGAAAGTCTTCAGGACCTAGAGCTCAATGAAGAGTACTTAGCTATGGCATCAAAAACACAATCCATGAAATAGAAAAATCAGTCAATTGGACTTCATAAAAATGAAACATGCCAGCTCTGTGAACATTATCTACATGCTAAGAAGATAAGGAGACAACTACAGACCTGGACAGAAGGTGTACAAACCACGCATCTGACACAGGGGTCATCTCTAGGATACAGGAAGAATTCTCAAAACTCAACTGCAAAACCCATGAAGAATCCAGTGAGAAAATGGGCAAAGGACATAAAAAGACATTTTCACAGCAAAGGGTGTACAGATGGCAAATAAGCACCAGAAAAGATTCTCAACAGCACTAACCATTTAGGCGATTCAAATGCACACACACAAGAACTAAAATAAAACATAGTGCCTATGCTGAGTGCTGCCTGCATGAGGAGAAACTAAATTGTTCACATATTGCTGGGGGGAATGTGAAAGGGGACAGCCACTCTGGGAAACAGTTTGGTTTTTTTTTTAAATATTAAAAATACTCACCCTGTTACCCTGTAATTGCTCTTGGGCATGTACCCCAGAGAAGTATAAACTATATCCACACAAAAACCTGAACACAAGTGTTTACAGCACCTTATTTGTCATCACCCAAACCTGGAAACACCCAAACCATTCTTCAGGGGTGAGCAGTTAATACCCTGCTTCCCCAGGGCCACGGGCCTGCTCAGCAACACAAAGGGACGAGCTACTGACACACACACAGCATGGATGGATCTCATGGGCGCTGGGTTGAGTGAAAGTCTCAAAAGGTGACATACGGAATAACTGTCTGTAGGTACCACTCTCAGGACAGAATCCTAAAGATGTAAAAGAGATTGATGATGGCCAGGAGTCAGGGAAGGTGGAGGGCAGGAGGCGCAGCAAGAAGGAGACGTTTTTGGTGGTAAACTAGCCGGTATCTTGGTTTCCATGGTGGCTGCAGGAGTCTGCACCTGTGCTAAGATGGCACAGAAGTGCACACACATTGTGCCAGGGTCAGTGTCCTGGTTCTAATGTCACATATGGTCCCACCAACTGTACCCACCGGAGGGCTGGATGCAGGCCCATACAGCCCCTTCCTACTAAGTTTGAAACTTATTGTGAAAAGGTTTTAAAAAGAGTTAGACCAGCATCAGATCAATGGTAACTGGACCAACTGTCCCAGATGAAGGGAACACAGCTTGGACGGGGAGAAAAGTACATCACACGAAGCAGAGGTGTAGTCGTTTGGACTCATTCTTGCCAGCTGAGCTCTGCACAGGGATGTGGAATCCATCGGCAAGCCCGCTAAGGGGACCACAGGTAACAGACTACACTCTCAGCCTGAGACAATACCACCACGATCAGGAGCATCCCCCCGCGCCCCCAGTGCCTTGAATCTCAGCTGTGTGTTTGCGTCACAAGTGAGAGTCCCAGACAACCCAGCCAGATCCACAGCCCACTGCCGGCCCCTACGATGGACCAGCCTCACTTCCTCCGGGCTCCGGTTGCCATAATGACGGCGCATTTGCACCCTGAGGTGTGTCCTTGGTTCTCAGAGTGAAGCACAGTGTGTGTGTGTGGTCTGGGCCAGGAGAAGGAGGCGGTCATTCCGTGGAGAGGCGTCCACCACCCTCCGCCCTGCGTCAGATTCCATCTTCCACCCACGTCTAAGTGGTCAGCTTTCCCCTCTGGGCCGCCTTCCGGATGGTTGCCCTTCCTCTTGCTCACGGAATACTTGTAAATTATTTTTCCCTAGACACCTGGCTCGACTTTTTCAAGATGTCCCACAAAGTTCATTTTAATGTTATCTGAACTGTGACAGCAGAAGAAAAAAGAGGCTAATCTTAAAATACAGCTTCCACGATGATCTGCTTGATCTTTCGCAAACAAATTCTCTACTTTGACCCCATTTGCCTGCACGGCCGCAGAGCCGGGACTGCAGTGGGCCGGGCCTGCCTCACAGAGGTGATCCTGGAAAGGCAAGAGGAACCAGCAGAGCTCCCTCCATCAATCATCCTAATCGGTTCCTGTCTCCAGTGCCACTTGGCTGGAATTTTTCCTACAGCCAGAAAACCTTCCTGGATTACAAACTCAAGTAAAACCTCTAATGTACGTGTGAAAAACGAGTTTACGATCAAAACAGGCCAACACTGCCTATATGTGTATTGGTGAACCTCCACGGGAAAGAAAATATATTGTTCTCACAACACAAACTACAGAGCAGAAATCACAATGCAAACTTTTAGGTTGGAGGATTTTCAGAGAATCAGCAAATTTCAACTACAGGTATGTCCCAGGAG